AGGTGTTTGTGGTCGTGGCCGTGGAAGGAAAAGGGGGAGATCTCCCGCCAGGCAAGGTGTTCTGCCCGGGGAGCGGCCGACACTCCGTGTTATAGTTCGGAGATGTTCTATATATGCTGTTTATGATTCGGAATGTTGATAGCGTGATTTAAGCTTCGGTGTGTTTCGCTTGCGGCGCGACGACAGCGCCGCCACATGCTTTCCAAGGCATAAGGGTGAAAAACAGCCAATTTCCTGACATTAGGCTGTTATTGAATCTTCTTAACAGAAAATAAAACAAATGAATTATTTTAGTCTGACCAGAATTCGAATCTGAAACCTCGAGGTAGGTATGTAACGGCTGTCAAAATACAGATGGCAACTACCTTCTGAGAAGGAGAGTTACGAAGACAAATATTTATATTAATTTATCCGCGTCGGTTATAAATATTTATGCGATGTGATTCAATATGCTTAAGCGTGAATTCTTAATATGGTTTGATGAGAATTCAAAGAAATAAGAATTAATTAATGCGTTTAAAAATTTGTATAACCGGCTGTTCGACAAAATTCGAAGGTAAGGCTGGCTGGCGGGCTAAGGTGATGGCTGACGTGAAGAAAACGCTGGACGACCTCAAACTGGGAGATGGAATTACAGCTCCCATAGTAGCTACAACACCTTCGCTACGTGTCTTCAAAGTGCCACCGTTCGACGGGACTTCTTCCTGGTCATCTTACAAAATCCAGTCTGAAGCCGTTATGAAGGCGAACGCCTGGAATAAAATTCAGGCCATGACTGCTCTCACACTAGGCCTCCGCGACCAGGCCTTAACAGTTCTGGAATCTCTCGGTGAGGAAGTGACTTTTGAGCAGCTCCTTGAGGCATTGGAGGCGAGATATGGCGACGCTCACAATCGTCTTTCGTGCGCAGCTTAAAGATCGCGTACAACACATCTACGAAAACCCAATGTTGCTGATTGGGCCCTTGTGGTGGAGAAACTGGCTCGAAAAGCATACCGATCTGTACCTTCACTCATTGAAGGGAATATTGTGGAAATATTCATCGACGGGACATGTATCATATTTATTACAATTATTTCATACAAAATAGGATCATCAACCAGGTTTGGGATCTCTGCCTTTATAACATCATCAATTCGATTTGAATGAATTTTTTCTTAGAGTCAAATCAAGTTATATGAGTGTAGCAAACCTCTTTTTGACATTCTTTTAAGTACATCTAACTAATAACATCTGCAAAAACAGAACTTCTCACAATTGCATTAATAAATTTCACTTGTTTTTTCTAAACACTCGTGCAATTATATCAAGTCTATCATGTGGCTTTTGTCCATATTGTAACTTACTTTGAATTTCTTTCGACGATGGATTACATGCAAATATAATAAACAAATCAGGACGATCATATTTTCTCACAAAATCATTGCATCTTATGTATATTCCTGCATATGTCAAGGGTTACCTGTAAACGAAGATGAAAAAATTTTCAATCGTCCCAAATCACAACATGGACGTTATATGTGACTTTTGTTTTGTTATTATTCTGCTTCGCGCTAAACTGTGAGCCGGTTCACAGCTTTGGCTCAGAAACTTGAACCTTGATCTGAGCTGATGCTCACGTATATCTATTAAATTACCTATGTCTAATGTCTATGTTCTATCGCTATTCCTATAATCACTACGCATTGATTATTTCATATGATCTAAGCCAATCAAATTTTGACAACTATATAGACGATTTTGTTTCCAGAAAATAATGTGGCATATTGTGGCGTTCGCCAAGACGCCAGTAAAAAGCTTTTATTGCGCATTTATATCGAGATAATCAAGGAAATGTCTTTCTTGACTAACCGAGTATATCGTACATCTAAAACACAATTTTCACAACTACAATCTAATCTGACACATTCGAATTGACATTACACATTCACCGTTACAATGTTGTACCTGAGATAGCGTTAGCGATAGAAAATATTACAAGTATTTTATATCGTTTATTCACACGGTCGCACACATTCCTAACTCAGAATATAGAATATTAATACAATCACTGTCTCAAATAACCAACTAAAATAAATTTAGATTACTTTCTTTACAAGTAACGCGGCATTTTGTAAGCATTTTACTTTTTATTTGTTTTAATGACGTTATGTTGGCTGATTAATTCCTGTATTGAGATGGTTTCCATTTTAGCTTTAAAAGTCCACTGCCAAAAATAGGCCTCTCCAATAAATAATATAATAGGGGGAACTTTACTTTAGTTGTCACCCCTGTACTATGCAGCCGTTAATCGTTCTAAATGTTATAGCTTTGTTGAACAACTTGTTAATGATATTTAGCCACAAGTGTATATCACTCTGTACTTCAGCTATTGACGACTCCGTGGTGCAGTGGCTAAGCTCTGAGTTGCGGCGCTGCGAGTTGTGGTTTCAAATCTTGCACCAAACAAACTTTATTTGCGTGGAAGAGCCACGCTGCAGCTATATTATGGTTGTAGTATGAATGGGTCAGCTCGACCGGGGAGGACCACGCTCTCACAGAAAACTAGCGTAAAATAGCAGCATAATGTTACTGTGTTTCATATGGTGAGTGTAGAAAATCGGAGACCCATTTTGCTGGGGTCGAAACATTCCCTCTTAGTGCTCAGGGGTGACAATGCATATGCATTTTGATTCTTAATCGAATGTAGATCTCTATGGGCCACAGCATCCACTTACCATCGGGTGGACTGTGTGCTCGTTTGTCACCCTTATCCTACAAAAAAAAAAACAAGTGACCTACAAATAATTGTTCCGGGTTTGGATGTTCATCTTTGTAAACTGTTTTTACGTAATACAAGAGACATTCTAGAGTAGAAGTAAAATGTTTCAAAAAATAAATTAAGGAAACAATTAAACCGACTACCCCCTGGCGTGCTTATGTATATTATGCGAGATGATAAATTCAATGTACGGTTTAAAAAAGAGGTAACTAACTATTAAAAATATTTTTTGATAAATTACAATTCTTGCAAGAGAACAACGATTGCTATAAACAACTTTAATAGAGAAGATGTTATGCCGAAGATGATAGGCTGGATGTTACCATCTGCTTGGGATCCCATACTTAATGATAGTAAATCCGAATCTAATTATCCTAATACTATAAGCTCACTCTGCGTAGATCAGGTAAAAATTAAGTTTATACGATGAAGGTAGTTTGGGTGAACGATGATATTAGATCTTCCGGCGAGGAGTCCGTCTGGGTAGGTATTATATCTGAATAACACCCTCTTACTTATTTCTGCCGCCAAAAAGCAGTACTTGCACTGCTGTGTAACGGTCTGAAAGGTATAGAGAGCAAGTATTATCAGAGGATTTGTGGCGTTCCGTCTTAATGATCAGAGGTGACGCATTTGCAGTTTTCATCGTTTCATGTTGAGGCTGTTAGTATTCACAGATTGCAGTAGCCTCTTACATGAGATGGACTGTAATTTCGTTTGTCATTATTCAGTTTTACAATAAAGAAAATAACTCGGTCTTCCAAGATCATTGGTGATGTAAATCACCTGAGTTCTGGGGAAGTAATTATTTTAAAATAAGACGCGATAAATTTAGCTAACTTAGTTATATTCAATACGTGGTATAAGTAAATGTTAAACTATTTATTAACTAATACAGCCTATCAAAATTACTTGGCATATGGGTCACTCATCTACTGTCTTATTCTCTCTGTCACCTTTTGCGATACCCAAGGGATGAGGTAATAGAATCTCTTTACGCCGCTATTTCACAGTGAAGCGTACATATAGTAAATCTTATTAGTTATTACTTAATTCTTATTATAAAAAAAATTCTTAAAAAATCTTATTAATATTCTAAACATCCTATAGATTTAAGAAGGAAACGTAAAATTTCGAATGTTAAGCATTTTGCATTTTAATGTCAATGTCAGCAATTTAAAAAATAGATACAAATCGATCTGAACACAAGCCTTACTGTCTTCATCCCATTTGGTGACTTATCGTATATTCATTTTCTATACGCTTCGTATAAGCATGTATATTGATTATAATGATAATATTGGTGAAGGAAATATTATAAGTACCTTTCATTCATTGTAAAAGAAGATTTCAAGTAATTTTTATTGTTAGATTTTTTATTTAAGTTACCTAAAAATTTCAAAGCAGACGTATAAATTTAATAATATTAAAAACAATCACCACAACATACGAAAAATGCGTGTTGCGTAAAAACACTAAACTAGAATTGAGGACCTTGCAGCAAAAGAGGGGCAGATCCAAATTTTAACCGTTACCTTTTTTTCACCTACATTTTAAACAAAAAAAATTAGCTATGGTTTGGTGCATTTAGGAGGCAAATCCGACGACAAACAAGCGCGCTGTAACAAAATTTGGATCTGCTACCTTATTCTGTTTGGTGCAAGAAGAGAGCAGGTTCGGACCTGCCTCCTTCTTGCAACAAATGAAATTATTACATCATTTGTAAACAAGTCAGTGCACGTTTTGTGCTCGGCCCGAAAGGACATGCGTATTATTCTTTTAAATATTTGTTTTAAGTTTGATACGTTAAGTGTGTATTAAAATGAGTGACAATGAACCGTTTAGTAGCGGCTCGTCAGATATTTACCAGCCGCCTGTCTACTAGTCATGTTCAACCAGTTCAGATGATGATGGAAGCGATGTTGGTTTGTTGACATTTCAAAACCAAACTAATGAGGCGAACGATAAAGGTATGAATATTTTGGATGAATTTAATACAGATAATCCATGCCCATCGACGAGTGGCATAGCGCCGAAAAAAAGAAAATCCGCGAATCCATCACAATAGAAACGGAATGTAATAAAGAAGTCTATTGCTACTAGAAAGGGCTATTTAAACTATAAAGGCCGTGAAATAGGCGAAAGAAAAACTGGACCGGATTGTTGTTGTAAGAAGTATAAGTGTTTTGTTCAAATTAATGAAGAAGATAGGAAACAAATATTGGAAAATTTTAATAAATTGGAAGAAACCTATGTGCAAAACGTATACTTAGGCGGTTTAATTAAAACTGAGAATGTTGAAAGGGAAAGATCTAAAACTGGTACGGGGAAGAAACGGAGTTGTTCACACAAATATTATATTAAATTAGGAAATAGAAATATACAAATTTGCAGAAATTGCTTTGCATCTATCCATGGAATATCCAAAAAGCGTGTAGACAATGTTGCTAAAGAGTATCGGGATCCTACTGTAACTACACCAGCTCAGTCTAATCGTGGAAAACATCAAAATAGACCAAATCGTATTCCAAGTGAATGGGTTTCTAAAGTTGACTCTCATATTAGAAGTTTCCCACGTCGCGAGTCACACTACAGTAGAAATAAAAGCTCACGTTATTATCTGCCTCCAGAGTTGAACATTAAAAGGATGTACGAGTTATATTTGAAAAAGCATGAGCTTGGTCTTGAAGCATCTGCTAAGCCTATAGTATCATTTGATTTTTACTACAGATAATTTAAACAAAATTTTAAATACAGTTTTGGGTCACCTCGTTCAGATACTTGCAAGAAGTGCGACATGCTGAGTAACAAACTAAAAGATAAGACATTGGATAGCGATGAAACCCAACAAATACAGATAGAGAAGAGTCTTCATCAAGCCAAGGCCGACACTTTTTTGTTGATTTAAAAGAGAAGAGTCAACTTGCTCTTAATAATGAAGAATGCGAAGTATTAACATTTGATTATCAGCAGAATATGCCATTACCTAAAATTCCAGCAGGTGAAGCATTTTATAAACGTCAACTTTGGGCATATAATTTTTGTATTCATTCAGCAAAAACAGGGATTGCTCACTTTTATTTATATGACGAAACCATAGGCCGAAAATCACCAAACGAAGTCATATCTTTTATAAATCACTACATAAATGACATTTTAGCAAGCACAGTTAAAGTACTGTATTTATTTTCTGATAACGCAGCAGCACAAAATAAGTACTCGACTTTAGTTCAGTATCTATATACGCTTATGCGGTGTTCATCTTTTGAGAAGATTGTTCATCGATTTCCAGAACCAGGACAAAGCTTCTTACCGTGTGATCGGTGTTTCGGTGTAATAGAAAAGTTTAATAGAAGGAAAGATTACATATTTACGACTTCTGAATATGCCGATTGTATTACGCAAGCATCTAAAAATTTTAAAGTTGTAAATGCAAGTCAAAATATGATACTTAACTTCAGCCAACATTATGAGAGTCATTTCAAAAAAGTAATAACAAACACAGAGAAGATTCGATTCAAAATATCTCAATATCGTTTTTTTTTTGAATATAAATAAACCAGTAAAGACCACATTGAAGCTATTGCAGTCAGTGTTACAACGGGAACGCCAGTATTTGATTATTTTCCTATAATGAGAAATGCTCAAGCCCAACTATCAGTTCTGCCTCAGAAACCGCTGTATGATCATGCATTGCCGTTGAAAAAGGCTAAATACAACGATGTTATGCAGTTGGTAAAGAACTATGTTCCACCAAATAAACTATATTTCTACAGGGCCCTTAAAAGTGAAGCTGTCGGACCAACAGATGATATTTCTAGCGAAGACGATGATGATCAAGCTGAATTTAACCTTTATTTTTTTTTGTTCAGCACTCATTCGTTTTTGTATTTCTTTTGATTGTTTAATTCGTTGTGGACTGATTTCTAATTCTTGAAATAAAAAAATAACCGTGTTTACCTGTTTTATTATCCTTAATACAAAATAGGGTAGTATTTTTCTTCAATCTTGGTGCAAAACGGAGGCAGATCCAAACTTTAAAAAATCGTAGGTAGTAATTCTATTACTTCTTCAATTGCCTTAAATCTTGAATAAAATGTGTATATATGTTCATATTATATAATACCATATAACGATAAGACATAAGTACATCAATCAATTTTTAAAAACCTTTTTTTTAAATACCCAACAGTTTTGAAATTTGGACTTGCCTCCCTTTAGCTGCAAGGTCCTCAATTGTTTTACGCCTTAATAAAACCTAAAAACGCAAAGATGCCAGCATGAAATCTTAGGAGACTTAAAAAAGCACAGTTTTAAAAATATATCGGATCCAATACATTAATATAAAATTAGGGAATCGTAATACAAAACTTGTTTTATATATTTAGTAAACATCCATGGAAACAAAATTGTAAGAACTATAAAGCTATATAGTGTATCAACGTAATTTTCATCAAAATAAACGAGCATTTGTATGTTGGGATAATGTAAACGTTCCTTATGTACAAATGTAATAATATTTGTACAATAAAAATAACACAGCTAATGGTGGCGTGTAAATGACTTCATATATCACGCCACGGGCACTTAGAAGAGGATTTTATTTAACCGGATAAGAACACTAAAGTAGCGTATATTCCATCGTGAAGTACATTTTTATGGGCTTGAAATTTAGTTTTAGTGAAGATTTATATAATTTTAGGATAGTATAGGTAGTATAAAAATACTATTTTCCTTATTACCTATATATTATATGCGAATGAAGTTTGTATATTTCAACCTGACAAAACAGATAATAAATGAACTATATTTTCATGCACATGTTGTACGTGGTAGAGCCATGCTGCAGCTATGCTATGGTTGTAGTACGAATGGGTTGGCTCAACCGGGGAAGGACCACGCTTTCACAGAATATCAGCGTAAAATAGCAGTTCAATTCTACTGTGTTTCATATGGTGAGTGTAGAGAATCGGAGACATTTTTTACTGGAAACGAGGCATTTTATCTTAGTCCTCAAGGCTGATAACGCTCTGCATTTTAATTCTTGATGGAGGATAAATGAAGATGTCTATAGGCCACAGCATCCACTTACCATCAGGTGCACCGTGTGTTCGTTTGTCACCCACATCCTAATAAATATGCATTTTTTTTCCTATTTATTACCATGAACTATCACACAGTATTCTACGATACTGTGTGATAGTTCATGGTAAGTACGTTTGAACACTATTGTTCGTAACATACATAAATACTCACGGCTGTCACCCCGAGGGGTAGGCAGAGACTACAGACTTCCATTTGACACGATCTTCAAACATCTCTCTCGCCTCCTCCACATTAAATATATATATATATATATATATATATATAATATATATATATATATATATATATATATATATATATATATATATATATATACTTACATACATATATACCTACGCATACATGCTCGTCGGTTAAGGGTACTCTTAATTAGACCAGTTTTCAATATATCGCCAATTTTGTCGATAAACTTTCGCCTAGGACGTCCCTTTCCGACTGCCGTTCACTTTTGCAACATGAATTTTCTTTGTCACTCTTTCCTCATTCATTCTTTTCACATGACCAAACCACCGAAGCATTCCTTTCTTAATCCTGGTCACAACATCATCTTACAAACCACACTCTTCTCTTATCACACAATTTTTTTACCTGGTCAATCAGATTCAGCCCTAACATATTTGATAATAACATATTTCTTACAATACAAGCTGACACTTTTTGTTATAGGTGCGAAATGCCTTGTGCAAAACGTGTATCTTATGATATAAAAGCTGCATACAAAGTGAGAGGCTCATATGCAGCAGTGGAGTTTTACAAGCTATTGAAGGAGTGAAAGAAACATAGGATTCATCGTTATAAATCTATAGCAACATCGATATAGCCAATCAAAAGTCCACCGCTGGAGAAAAGCCTCCGCATGTAGTACCTCATATGGGGAACATTTGCCATATTCGCCACGCCAGGCGTGTTGGCAACCGGTTTTTTTCTTTTTTAGTTGTAATAGTAAAGAAGCGGTTACCCATCTACCGGTTTATTTCTATTTGTCGCATTTTACGTAATGCATATTTTTACGCCTCAACTATACGGTACACGGTGGCAACATCGGTTTTCTGGTGTGCGTGATCAAAGGTGGGCTTATTTAATGAGGTATCGTGTCACGACATTTCACTTCTCACTATTCACCTTGAATACTGAGACAAAACGAATTGATCTTCTTTATTGAAGTGATGCTAAGATGTGCTATGAAGTGATGGTATGATGCTGTGATATGAGAAGTGTACAGTGCTCTATTACCTGTAGTGGCATTTTTATCACCAAAAGAGCAATCGTTTGTAATAACAGCATAATGTTCTTGCGTTTCAATAGATGCGAGATGAGAACCAGAGAATTCCTTGATACTTTCTACAACTGGTAATTAGATAATACGAGTAATTCTTAGCCCGTAGAATGTGGAAGTAAAAATATATTTTGACTAGTCAACTTTAAGCCACCGTTAAATCTCGTGCTGTATTTATCGCTGTAAGTAAAAGTGACTGTGACCCCACAAAACTTAACAGCGTCTTAAATTTGAATAGAATTTGAATATTTCCGCATAATATGAGTCACAGTACACTTAACATGAGGTGGACTGCGTCTTATTTTGTCACTTTTAGTTACATTGAAAACACAATTTTTCTACGAAATATTTCGAATACAGTCGCCAGGCTAAATGTTTTTTTTTTATTGGACGCACAGAACGAATGGATCCCTTAAAGAACATTAACATTTAACTTAGTAAAACCAATATTTTTAATGTGTAAAGTGTGCAATTTGATGTGCTTTATAATTAGAGGATTAAAAAAAATGCGCGAAAATGTTGCTTAATTGATGGAAGGTGGATTCACTCTGTAAATTAGATTTATTTTTTTGTAATTTCTAAATGGAATTTTACTTTCACAGCACGTCGTAAGAAATTCATCCGCTCGTTCAAACAAAATGAGGCAACATCATTTCGAATGCAAATACCAAACGCTATTTTTTACTTTTTACTATATCTTATTTTTATTTTTATTATCCATTAAACAAACATGCTTAGTAAAATATTACACAAAACGAGACAATCCTTTTTGGATCTATTAGAAATTTTAACATTATTTAATGGTTTTGACACATAAAAAAATTCACATATTACATATACTAAAATCTAACCGGAATCATGAAATCTGAAAAAAAGTTTTTTTTTTGATATTCATGTTCTGGATAATGTATCATAAAAAAGCCGTGTAACGATGCGATTTGCGATTTGTATAAAAAATTACAAAGATTATTATACACATATATGTATTTGTATATTATATAATTATTACTTAAGCGAGATATCATTGAAAACATGATACAACGTGATACAAGGGTTTACCGGGGGTCCAACGTAGGGACGGATCGTTACTTGGTCTTATGTCGAATTAATGGTCTTTTCAAGCGGTGACGGCATCGGACATCTGTGTCTACCACTGCGTTACAGCGTATAAGAATAGAGAAGTTACAAGATGAAGATGTGAAAGAGAAGTGTAAATGTAGGCTGAGAGAAAATATTAGAAGTTTGAATGAATTGTGTATGAATGATTTAGACTTGAATACTGTGTAGGATAATATTAAGAAAGGTTTGGTGGATGCCGCCACCGAAGTATGTGGTGTAAGTAAGAGAACAAA